ATGTGTTTCCTCTGTCAGATTTTCGGTGTTGGTGAATGGGTCTCCTGCTGGGTTTTTCGGCAGTTCTCGCGGTCTGTGGCACAGGGTTCCTCTCTCCCCTTTCCTGTTCATTATTGTTATGGAGGCCCTTAGTAGGTTGATGAGAAGGGTTGTGGACTTGGGTTTCATTAGGGGCTTTAAGATTGGCCCTGACTCGGTCCAGCAGTTGGAGATCGCTCACCTGCTTTTTGCGGATGACACTCTTGTTTTCTGCGAGGCAGAGGTGTCCCAGTTGCGGTACTTGAGATGTGTCCTGGTTTGTTTTCAGGCGATTTCTGGTTTGAAAATCAACATGGGAAAGAGCGTGCTTGTCCCTGTAAGGAGGTTCAAGAGGTGGATTCTCTGGCCGCGGTTTTAGGGTGTGGGACGCAACGTTTCCCTATTTCATACTAGGGTTTGCCATTGGGTGACTCGGCCAGGAGGGTGGGCAGTTGGGACCCGGTGATTGAGTGATTTGAGAGAAGATTGGCTGGTTGGAAAAAGCAATATCTCTCCAAGGGTGGTAAAGTTACTTTAGTAAAGAGCGTTTTGTCAAGTCTCCCAACGTACTTTCTTTCACTGTTTTGGATTCCAGCCTCTATTGTTGGAAGACTTGAGATGCTTCAACGAAACTTTCTTTGGGGGAGTCGAGGAGAGGAGTTTAAGTATCATCCCATCACGTGGGAGCAGGCTTGCAGGCCTTTTCAGTTGGTTGGTCCTTTTCAACAGTGCTCTTCTTGGCAAGTGGCTTTGGAGGTTTGCTAGTGAAAGACACAGGTTATGAAGGAATGTCATCTCTTGTCGCTTTGGGGAGGAGAGAGGGGGGTGGTCAGCTAGGACAGTCAGGTTTGTTGGCAGAGTGGGGGTGTGGAGATCCATTGGGAAGGGGTGGGATGTGTTCTCCAAACATATTAGATTCAGAGTTCAGGATGGAAGGAATGTCCGGTTTTAGGAGGATACTTGGTGCGAGGATAGGCCATTGTCTCTTTTGTTCCCAAGGCTGTTCAGGATTGCTGTTGACAAACATGCTACGGTTGCTGACTGCTATCGCCTTGATAGCGGTAGGTTGTCTTGAGATGTGCAGTTCCGGCGATCCTTTCAGGATTGGGAGTTGGATGATGTCACTAGCTTTTTGGCTCTCTTGTATAGGCAGGAGATGGAGGGTAATGGTGCGGATTCCTTGACGTGGGTGCCTTCTGCACAGGGGATGTTTTAGGTCCGGTCCTTGTTTGTTTGTCTTTCTGGGTTTCACGGTACCACCTTCCCGTGGAAGACGGTGTGGTTGTCAAAGGCGCCTCTTAGGGTGGCCTTTTTTGTGTGGACCGCAGTTTGGGGTAAGATTCTGACTTTGGACAATTTAAGGAAGAAAAGACATATCATTGTCAGTCGGTGTTGTTTATGTATGATTAATGGAGAGTCCGTGGATCACCTTCTGCTGCATTGTCCTGTGGCCCATGACTGTTGGAGCCTTATTTTTGGTCTGTTTGGTGTCCAGTGGGTCATGCCCTGGACCTCTAGGGAGTTGATGGACATTTGGAGGGGACAATGGGTGGGGGTGCATGCTAGAGTTTTTTGGAGGGTGACTCCCTTTTGTGTTTGGTGGAGCCTTTGGAAAGAGTGGAATAGAAGATCTTTCGACGGGAAGGAGTCTTCCATTGGGGAGTTGAAATTCTCTATTGTTTGTACTCTTTTTTGTTGGGGTTGGGGGAGAAATCATTCATCTATTGAGGAGATTGTGGACTTTTTGGGTTCTCTGAGTTCATAGTTTCCTCTCTTCTTTGTATATGGCTCTTGGGATGTGTTCCCCTTTTGAACGCTTTCTAATACATTTTACTTATAAAAAAAAAAAAAAAAAAAAAAAAAAAAGAATTCAATAAATGTTTCATGGGAACAATTCAAGATATGAGGGAAAAAAAAAAAATTTCTTTAAAAATGGTATTTTTGATATATCAACTAAGAGTATTTGTTAAATTAATGCTTACAAATCCTTTCATATGCATATGCATTTACCATATTAAATGTGATTACAAAATATGTAACACAAAAAACTATAATCATGCAAATTTTAAACATACATTATCATATATTCAAAATCACTCACTAAATGCAATTAATATAAGTAGTAAACTATAAATTTATGAATTTTGTCAAATATTTTATAAGGTTAAAGAATACAATCCATTAAAGGATATATACATTTTAATTTAGTGATGATATGAATAAATGATTAAAAAACACGAATCTGAGGGCTTTGTGTGAGCTTTGATTAAAGGGGCCAGTGTAATTGGTCTAGCACTTGCCTTCTGTGGCCCAAAAGCTTAAGTTGTTGGGTAGTGTTGTATACCCGCTCATATAGACCCCATTCATTTTCCATTCGGATCCGTTGTGGGATGAGCCCTTCTAACATTCTCCTTAACTAGAACTCACGAAGCACTCGTTGTGGTCGGACCACCCTTCCTACCCATCGAAGACTTGGGCACCTCCCGAGCGGGTGCTTAGTGTGACATCGGATCAAGGATTGGGTTTGGTTATGATACCAATTGTAATGGGTCGAGTGCTTGCCTTCTGACCTAAGGATGGAAATTTACCCGGCCTCGACAGGTACCCATTTTGGTCCACTCCGTTTAAATCGGTTTTGGGGGGCCATTTATGGGATTTGGGCGGGGATGGGTTTTAAGGGGAAAAATCAGCGCGAGTTTGGGGCGGGGAGTGGGAAAGGTCACCCTGCCCCGCCCTGTTTATATTACTAATTTACTAATTTATCATTTATATATACGGAGTATATTACATCTAAAAACCCCAATCTCTTAAAACATTTATCACCCATTCTGTCGTCGAGACACGCACTCTCTCTCTCTGTGCATTCTCAGTTCAGTCCTCATCCTTGCCACCGTTGCCTGCCCCCATTGCGAACCAACATTGCCTGCCCCCATTGCGAACCAACATTGCCTGCCATTCTCTCCGACCACCGTCGTTTCGTCAGCCTTACCAACCTCCATCGTTCCGTCAACCTTACTGACCACCGAGCGCTCCGATCAGTTCTGTCTGTCTGTCTCTCCCCTCCTCCTCCTCCTCCTCCTCCTCCTCCTAACTCCTTAATTCATGAACTGTATTGTTAGCTTTTGTTGAGTGTATTTGTTCTTGTTAGTTGTTACTGTCCAGCCGTCTATTTGACATATGATTTTATATCCAAAATTGTAAAACTCTTGGTAAAGAAGCTCATTTGATTTCTTGTTATTTTGTTGTATCCTTTGTTTGGTTCCCTAGAAATAGATGAAAAGAAAGAAATTAGGGATTTTGAGCTTCATGTAATCTGTTGCTCTGTTCCAAAATGAAATGAAAAATTCACTCAATGAAGCCAATTTAATTTCATTATGACCAAATGAGAGGAGTTGTTCGAACTTCGATTATTGAGTGGTGGAAAGTTTAAAACCGAATCATCTTGATTTTAGTTTTCTATTTCCCCTCGTACCCACCCCCCCTCCTCTTCCTTTTCTTGTTAACTGATTGATGACTTCAGACTTGCTTTTCAAAAAAAGTTGATGATTTCAGTTTTCTAATTTTGATCATATTCAGTATATTGTGATTATGTGTGTAATGTGTGTTGATTTTTGTATGATTAAATTCATTTTGGATTTTCTCCACATAAATCTTGATGCTAGATTCTCAGATCTCAATTGTGTCACTGTATATGTACCCAATTATTTTTAAATTTGATGCAGAAGTAATAAGAACTCAAAGACCATATGTACCCATTTATTTGAGTTTTTCTTCATCTTTTCCTTCCGCTTGGATGTCTATTGTGAAGCAGTAGTGTACAGAAACTTGATTTATTAATGAAATTTCTTGCTCTGAAACAAAAAAAATTAAGTTAAAAAAGTAGGGAAAAAGTTGTGGGAGTTTAAATGGGGCAGGGGCAGGGGCAGGGGTGAGGTACCTACACTTGCCCCGTTGCCATCCCTAATACCCACCCATATATACCCCATTCATTTCCCATCCGGATCTAATGAGGGATGAGCCCCTCTAATACCTAGCCTATACTAGGAACGGATGTCAACGGGGTGGGTTGGGGCATGGGGCACCCCTATCCCAAACCCGTTCCCCAAATAAAAGATATTCCGAAACCCGTCCCGCCCCTTTCTCTCATTGGAGTCGGGAGAGGGTTCGTGGCACCCTGGTATACATACAATTTCAAGCAAAACAATTCAAACTATAGAAAACTATAGCTAATAAAAGAATATTTATTTATATATTTGTTATTAATCGAGGTAGGTTTGGTGCTTGGTGGGTTTTAAATTCTCCCCTCCTAACCCTAAAAGGATGATCCTGGGGCGGGTTAAATTAACATCCCTAGTACTAGGTTGAGGCACTCTAGCTGAGCCTTGAAGAGCCTGATTTTTTTTTTTGGAGCCTAGGCGCGCCTTTAACAACTATAGTTTAACTCACATGAGTCCAAAATATTTGGTTGTGTTCAAGTGGGTTGATCTCAGTAAATTGACCAGGCCATTTGTCGCTAAATAAATGCTTGGCTTCCAGACTTATTTTGGCTGGTGTTTTCGATTTGTTCGCACGCACCCGAATAAGATATATTCTCTTTGACTCTGATTGCATTCTCCTCAGTAGCTTCACCTGGACATAATTAATTTGGTGTGCCTAGTTTTTAAGCAGGTACCACCAGTAAAATGACCTTGAAGGTTTTCTTAGGAGGTCAGAAAAGTTATTGTCCACTCTAGCGTGATGAATGTGTAAATTTTGTATAAAATTTATTTACTTACATAAAATATGAAGTTGGATATGTGTTTGGCATAAAATTGGCTGTTGCAAAATTAATTTAATGATGCTAATAGTGTAGAGTGCCTTTCTTACTTCCTTTAAAAGCTTGATTTATAACCAGATTCATGGTTTGAGAGAGTGCTTAGTTATTGTTGGCACCTTTATCGTCCCATGAAAAATAATCTTTAATATTGGGATACATTTGATAGATATCAGGGAAACCAGCGATGGCAAAGAGGGCTCTCTATGAAGTGTCCACTCTGTTGCATCAGAATCCACGCAAGGACAATCCTCCTTTGAGTTTTCCCATGCCCTATGGGGGCCCAGGTTTTCATCCTCCTGGACCTCCAATGCCAAATATGCACCCTCCAGGAAATCCAATGTGGTCTGAGCCCCGTGGTATGCCACCAATGCCATGGATGGGGGAATATGGAGACCAGCCCACCAGATTTGGGGTAGGTGGTTTTGATGATGTTAACACTGCACATGGTGGGGAAGTTGAAAAGGAGTTTTCAATGAAAATTTTGTGCTCAGCTGCAAAAATTGGTGGGGTTATTGGCAAGGGAGGCTTCAATGTTAAAAGATTACAGCAAGAGACAGGAGCTAGCATTCATGTTGAGGATGCATTAGCAGAGTCAGAAGAACGTGTGATCCGCGTCTCTTCTTTCGAGGTCAGCCTTCCTATTCTTTTATTATATCTTTTTTTTCTTTTTCTTTTTCCTAGTTGCTTGTTTAAAAGTTAAAAACATATCTCATCACGTACTTCGTTTGACTGTTAAGCTCTTGTTTCTGGCCTATTATTTATTCCTTTTATTTTAACTATCTCAAAATATTACCTATGCGCTGATTGTAAATTATTGCACTGAAATTGTTTTAGGCTCTGTGGAACAGAAGATCGCAAACTATTGAGGCCATTCTTCAGCTTCAGGATAAAGCAAGTGAATACTCTGAAAAAGGAGTTATCACTACTAGACTTCTTATTCCATCAAGCAAGATTGGCTGCATTCTTGGACAAGGAGGTCAGGTAATCAATGAGATGAGGAGGAGAACTCAGGCAGGCATACGCGTCTACTCCAAGGAAGATAAGCCCAACTGTGCAGCACAAGATGAAGAGCTTGTGCAGGTGAGTTGGTTGAAACGTGCAAATTTTACTCTAATTGCCATGCGGCCTTTTTCTTTTTTCATGATGAAGGTTTTTTTTTTTTTTTTTCTCAGGTAGATCACTTCATAGGTTTTTTTGTTTCCTTAAAAAGTGAGTTTTTGTTTAATTTAAATCAACATTAGTGACATTTTAGATATCTGGAAGCTTGGGCGTTGCTAAAGATGCTCTGGCAGAGATCGCATCACGGCTTAGAACGAGATGCCTGCGAAATGCAAATGCTGGTGTCGAACCTGCTCCTGTTGGGCCAGTCAAGGGATTTGGTACAGCAGGAAACTTACATGGTGGAGGGCCACATCCACCAGTTCAGCGATCTGGCTCCATAAGAGCGGCCAGCTCTAGTGGATATGAGCTTGTGAAGGTATATTCTATTCTATTTGCTCTTCTTAAAAAAGATTATTATGTCCACTTTCTGGGTCATGTCTGTGTCTTAGATCAATTATTCCTCCTTTAGGATAATAATAAAAAATGTTCTTACTTGAATAATCATTGTGGCTAAACCATGTTGTCTGGATCCGTTGCAATTTTGTTTTTGTTCTATCCTGGTGGTTAGTTTTGAGTGTAGATAAATGATACTATCTTTTTCATCATTTGGCTATCTGTCATTAATAAAATGGTATAAACAATAACAATAATATGGGAAAACTTGTATATTTACATTGTAAACAAGTTATGCTAGGAAGTTGGTATTGAGATTAATATTTTTTGTTTTGTAGATGAGAATACATTAATATTTTAGCTTTATGTATTCCAATGTACGATTCTTGTTCTCTGATGAGCTTTAAATGAGTCTGTTTATCTTGTCCAATGTACGATTCTTGTTCTCTGATGAGCTTTAAATGAGTCTGTTTATCTTGTCTTCTCCACTTAGATTGGAAATTAGATTTAAATATTCCATGATGAGGTAATAATAAATGATATGATCTATTTCATCATTTGGCTATCTATTATAATAAGATGATGTAAATAATAATAGTGATCTGGACCATCTGGTAAAATGTATACAATCACTAAGAAGTTATCTTGGAAATTGGGGAACGCAATTTGTAATTTTTTTTAAGTTTTGTAAAAAAGTATATATTATGATGTTATCTTTATATATTCCAATGCATGATATGTTGTTCTCTCATAGCTTTAAATGAGCGTTTTTAATTATCTTCCCTCATCCTCTCCCTCAGTAGCTGTCGTCGTCGTCAATGCATGAAGAAAGGAGAAGATAACTTCAGAATCTCATGTAGGTCTCTAGGAGTGTCAACTAAATATGCAGAGTGTTTTATGATTGAAACTTGTTTAATTGGCTCTCCGGGGGTTGCTTATGTTGAAGTATTTTTAAATACAAATAGAAACTCCAGCTTCAAGATTTGTTCAACGAAGGATTTCTGATTTAGGAATCAAATAATACAAACAATAATAGAACTTGACAAAATCTAATCCATCCACTCCTATATTCTGGATATTTAAACAAAAAGATAAAGTGTAAAGGTTGCTCCTAATCCAAAAATTACTGTAATACCCCTAATTAGGTATAGATCGGTTAGGAGCAAAGATCTAGTGGGTCAACAGTATCATACTATAAGTTTTCCTATATCATGTAACATCTTTGATGGGAGCAATCAGTTCATTAGTGGGGACATGTAACTTTTTCATCTTCTTCTATTGGCGTATGTCTGCATATATGGATGAACTACCACCACATAGTATTGTCCTTCCCTAGTCATTAAAAAGAGGTTGTTAATCACTCACCAACTTTTATCAGTTTTTAATTGAAGTTGGGACTGATGCATTGTTTGGAAGTTCTTCAGCATTTGGAACTGATGGCATTGTTGTACTGAACTGACAAATGGACAGCAAACCTTTCTCATTGTTATTCACAAGGGCAAGCGGTTTGCACATGGGCTAAGTGCTTAAGAGAAAAACAGCTGTGACTTCTGAAGGGAAAAAACTTGAAGCTGTCTAATGACGTGTTTCAAAAATACGCCTCTAAAAGTACTTTTTATTACAATAATAAGATTATAGTCATAGTATTTAGTCATAAACTCTAATTTGTTTTTACTTTAGATACCACCTAACCTGGTGGTAGTCTCTCCGGGATATGCAGAGACCTGGTTTCAAATGTATTCTTGATCCTACTCTAAACTTTATAACAGTACTCGATACTTCAATTTATGCTGTAGATGCCAGTTTGCTTTGTGGTAGTCTCTCTTGACTGTTTTTCTAGACCTGGTTTCAAGTCTACTTGAGAGTTTGTGTGCTGTTTTCATTGTGTGGGTGGGATAGGTGAGCTGGGTTATTGTAGTGAGAGTCGGGAATAATCCATTGGAACCAAAATTGCGAACTTTACTTCATTCATTTCTTTTAGAAAAACCTAATAATTTAATTCACGCCATGCTAGGGTTGTCCAACCTCCACCTCTTCCATTGCTGCTATCACCAACCATCATCATGTTGGGCACACACGTCATTAAATTGGTAGTTTGGTATTAAATTAAAGGGTAAATTACATTGACTTCCCTTGAGGTTTTGTCACATGCCCTCTATATTTTAATACTCCCTACGTCCTAAAGTACTTGTCCATCTTTCTATTTTGGGATGTCCCAAAAAACATGTCCCATTCCAAAATTGGGTGTACTACTTTTTATAACATTCCCAAACTATCACTTTAACTAAACAAATGCACAAATTACGGAGCACTATTTTGTCTTTTAACAAGGGCATATTTGAAACTTCACTCTTATCAATATAATGAAAAACTATTAAAATTTCACTACCATAAAAAATTGGATTCTCCAAGCAGGACATGTATTTTTGGGACAGAAGGAGTACTTTTGTAATAAAAGAATCGGTTATAAGAAATTACTATTTTTGTCCAATATTTATAGAAAACACTACTTTCTCTCTCCGCTTTGCGTTTCTCAATCTAAACACACATATACACGTAAATATACAAATAGGCACCCAAATATTTTCATATCTATATACGTATATACATATAGATATATATAAATTCGTATATGCACACAAATTTTTAGATCTGTAAGAGGTTGGGTGACGATATTGATGATGGTGCGAGGAACATAGACGTGTTGGTGAGGGTGTCGACAATGATTATTGATGATGCTGATGATGGCTCTTTATATTCTCTCTTCCTGCCATCTATACAGACTTCCAGCACATCCTCAAACCTTACCACTGCCCCACCACCTCATCCTTCCCTTTGCAATACCAACAATCAATATTATATATATATATATATATTTAAAATTTTTGTGTGTATATTTGAAAAGAAAACCCTTAGAATGCTCATCATCAATTTGGGTTTTGTCATAAATTGGGTGATGTTTATACAATATTGCATATATTATATAGGAGTATACAAGTTGGGTAACAAATAAGTTTTAACTTGTGAAACCCTCCAAGATCAATCAATTTAATATAGATGGAAATGAGAAAGAGAGAAATTGCATAAGTGAGAGAGAGAGAGAGAGAGAGATTGCAAAAGAGAGAGAGAGGGTGTAACGAATACTTATGGCTATTATGGTCTATGTCTTGGTTGATTTTTGTCATTTTTTCACAACACTTGTGGCTATTATTGTCTATTCATATGAAGAAAAGGGTAAAATGGTCATTTTATAAAATTTCATTTCTGATAAGGGTGTCATTGAGCACAAGTATCAAAACTCAGGGGAGGTTAAAGTAATAAGTCTTAAATGCTCTATCTGCTTATAATTTGACAAATCCTCAAGGGAGGTCATTGTAATTTACCCTAAATTAAAAGATGTCTGATGAGACAATGTTTGGCATAAAATGGCTGAACTCAACCTTTATTGTGTGCAATTCAAGGTAATAAGCTAATTACTAATCCAAACATCTAGTCTCAAGCTTGTAGCTTGTGTTGATATGTACATTATGCATTGTGCATTGCTATCGCAATCATGAAATGGAAACACCATCACATGCTTATTACAATTGGCTCTTTGAGGACACATCTTTGGAATAAGTAGAGACTTGTTTGGGGTATTCTTCAGATAATTCTAAACCTGTTCCATTATAGATGCATTATTTTAGCTCATGAATGAGGGTATGCTCTCGTGTAACGGTAAAGTTGCTTCATTGTGGCCGGGAGGTCATGGGGTCTAAACGGAAACAGTCTCTCTGTATACGGAGGTAAGGCTGAGTACATCTGACCGGAGACGGAAGTGGCAGGAACCCTTTATTCTTGTGAACATATTTCTTGTTTCCTTCTCTTCTTGAGTAAAATGTTTCTGTAAAAATGCTTATTGTTACTAAAATATTGTTGACTCTCTTCTTAAGGGTGGTGGACATGGACATGATCCTCCTAGGAGTTATCCAGTTCCTCAAAGTGCTACTAGGTAGGAATTATTTCTGTTATTTAATTTTTTCATTTTCATTTCTTGTTTTTGTTAGTGCGGTTGAGAGTATCATTATTCATGTTCCAGATACGCGATTGTCAACAGCTCTATGGAGGTGAAGACTCCGAATGCTGTGCGTTCTGTTGTTGGACCAGGAGGGGGCAGCTATAGTGAGGTCAGTTCTCACTACGATTTTATGGTTTAATGGACGGAAAGAAATATATATGACTTACTGAAAGAACTTGTGTGAGAGATTATCCCTCTTGCAGAATGTAGTTCGTGCTATCAGAAATATTTGAAGAAACTTGAATATTGTCCTGATAATTGCTTTCCTTTTAATCTTAGCTGTCAATGGAAATCCCTTTCTGGAGGAAAGTTAAAGGGAAACGTTTTTGGAAACTTTGGGGTAATTCTGGGCAATTTCTGCACAATCTTTTTTGGATCCTTTTGGGGAATTTTCTGAAAATTTATTGGAAAAGCTCGGGATATGTAAGAGAGTAGTGAAATGTGTGTAAGTGATCACTAGAAATGAACGTTGGAACTGCTAAAGTTGATTCCACATGCCTTAGGACTCTCTCTCTCTCTCTCTCTTCAATTCTTAAATGTTTTTATGAAGTTTCCTCATCCTGACTTCCAGTACAACTTCAATAGCATTTGTCTTTTTTCCTTTAAAATCTGAAGTTTATGAATAAGTTTCTTTAAAATTCGCTTATCCAAATTTTAACATTGTTTCCAGTGTTTGCTTCCCACTCGTTATCTATGTTTTCACCATTATTTTGTTTGAATCACCAGTAAGAAAAACCGCTGGTCAAAACCTAGTAAATGCATGAACCCACTACTTTTATGCTCCGTTTGGTTGGAGGGATGGGAAAATAAATGGATGGTAGAGGAGGGGTGATGGGAGAGGCATTCCTTGGAAGGGAGGGTGCATATTTGTCCCCATAGTTGTTAAAAGCGCACCTAGGCTCCAAAAAAGCCCCAGGCTCGTCAAGGCTCAGCTAGAACGCCTCAACCTACTACAGGCGAGGCCCCTTCAATCAGGCTCACATAAAGCCCTCAGGCTCACGCTTTTTAGTAGGCTCCAGTCTCAAAAAAGGCGCGCCTTGTATTTTTTAATCATTTATTTGTATCATTTTCTTGTTTACTTAATGACTACTAAATTAAAAGGTTCTATATCATATATCGTATTGTTTTAAACTTATGAAATATTTGACAAAATTCATAAATTTATGGTTCACTACTTACATTAACTGCAATTAGTGCTTGATTATGAATATATATAATATTATATGTTTAACTATGCATTATTTTATACTCGCACCCTACTTCGATCAAGCTCGCGCCTTATACTGCGCCTTGGGCTTAGGCTCCAGAAGGCCTTTGGCGCCTTAGTGTGCCTTGAGCCTTTAACAACTACGTTTGTCCCTTTGTTTGGTTGGGTGCTAAGAAGCGTGGACGCTTCTTAAAATCAGATACTGAAACTTCATTGACAATCCTGGACTATTCTGGATATTAGATTTTATGGTTTTATTAGGTAAATTTAGTCACAAACAAGTGCCACCATTTTGGCTTGAACCCTCAACCTCTCCTTTGTTGAGCAAAACTATATATATATATATATTTTTTTTTTCCCTTGGCAAGAAACTCACACACCCATTTGCCCTTATGGGGACTTAAACTTTCACCATCCACTTTGGGAGGTAGAGGAGATACTGTTAGGCTACAATGCCCTTGGTGCAAAACTGTCATTTACTACTTTGTTAAGCAAAACTGTCATTTACAAACCCTCCAATTATAAATGGATTACTAAATTCCTTCCTTCAATATTCAGATTTCTGGAACAAGGGTGAAGCTCCATGACGCTCAGTCTGGTGGTTCTGAATGTGTTGTTGAGATCCGTGGGTCTTCTGATCGTTTGAATGCTGCCCAGAGTGTCCTTCAGGCCTTCAATGTTTCAACCGGACAAAACTTTGAACCTCCGCAAGGCTCCTATCAATATGGCAGTGGGCATCAAAGTGCATATTCAACTATCAATACTCCACAAGACCGCTACCAGAACATCAATACTCAGCGGGCTCCTTACCAGAACCTCAACACCCAGCAAGCTCCTTACCTTGACATCAATACCCAGCAAGCTTCCTACCAAAACATGCAATTACCTTACCAAAACATCAATAGCCAGCAAGCTCCTTACCAAAACATCAATGCTCGGCAAGCAACCTATGAGAACACAAGTGTGCAAGGTACTTATCATTATTGACATTAGATCTGGGCATTCTTGTACCATAATGTGCCTGTTATGATAATTTTCGCAGTCTTATCGGCATGTTGTTGAACAGATGCTTAGAGGTAATTTAAGGTTTTGCATACTTGTGAGTACTTCTTCTTATGGGCTGAATTAAAACATTTTCCATGCTTGCCTAGGAGAAATACAAATTTCATGTATTTTCACAGTGCAGGAACTTAGAAGATCTGCTTTCCTATATAGATAAATCAAGTCGTTGGTTTTGGTTGTTGCATTTAGATCACTGATTTCTGGAACATAGCACAGGTAGAACTAAGCAGTAATCTTCCATTTTATGTTAGGTACCATTTGAATCGTAGACACCATTTTGCATTTGCTTGTGTCATGCTTACTATAGTTTCATAAATTTGATTGCGAATACTTATTCGGTGGTAACAATTAATTTTTCAAGGTCAATTTTATGGCTAATGAGGTGGTGCGTGAATGTTGTAGTAAAGTGGAAAAAGTTCCAAATAAAAATTGAGAAATCAAGAAATATGATTGTGATGGGAAATATTTTCGCTCCAAAAAGAACCTTCTGCACACAATTTTTTTCTTTTTTTCTTTTCACACTCAATATGTTGGTTATTTGATTTATTACAACAGAAATTCTTACTTTGTGTGAAATTTTTAATCTTTTATCCATGCCTATGTATCACTTTGTTGTTTGTCTCTCCTATTATTTAAGTGACGTGATAGAAATGATCATAATTTAATTGCAGGATTTATTGAACTAATTACGTTTACCTTTGTGTGCCTACATAACCTTAGCTAAAGTCTGCATCTTTTAGCAACCATGATAGACCTTGTAGAAGTAAGTATCCATGATTGGTCACATTTTGAGTGGTTCTCACTATGGTACAAAGGAAGTACAACCGTAACGATGTCACTAAGGTCGTGTTTCCCATACATTATGATGATTTAAAACTTCTTATACATGAATGCCATATATCTAAAAGGATAAGCCTGTGACTTCATTATAGATAGTCAATTCTGATGCTTAATGTTAGCGGTAGTGCTCCTCCCACTCGGGCCACTTGGTAGGGCTGAAAGGTTGTGGTAAGCTCTGTTTTGGACTACGTACTAATGCTCTTTCTGCTTTGTGATCCCATTGCTATCCTATTTGTTCCAATGAAAAGCATTTTCTGATATCCACACATGGAACACACTATCTGATATTATGCACATATGGATTTGCAGATTCTGTACTGTTTGTTGTGTTATTAACTTGTCATTTCAATGGTGCAAATGGTGCATCACACAGTGAGTATCATAACCTCATGTTGGTTGACCATTTGAGTGGCCCCCCTATTGCACCATAAATAGCAATGGATAACACACTCAAATTGTGCTGAACCTTTTCTTCTTCCTTAATTTGTCTATTTCATGCCTTATTCTCTCAATTGTTCCTTTGTACATAAAGTGTTTGACATTCTCACAATACATGTGTGTTTGTGTGTGTATAGTGTATACACACCGCATTAAAGAAAATTGCATACACATAGGACATTTTGGACTGTATCTTTAGTCTAGATTGGTTTCTTTTTATGGGATTATTTAGGACTGTTGTCTTCTTTATTTGTGCCTTTGGGTATGATAAAATTTTGAATCAGAGTAGTGTTGCTTGCCTATGCAGGCATTGTTTATGTTTGTTTTGTAAGGGAAAATATACGTGTGTGTGAAACAATATATATATGTTGAAAATATTTAAAAGGTTTCCAATATGAAGTAATATCGATTTTAGTCTTGAATGCCTGGGCTTGGGTTTGAGCACTAATTATATTAATGGTCACATTTTGAAGCCAGACAGTCTATAGACATACGTAAAGTAATGCATAAGGTGGTCATGCACGTACGTCTTGGCGTAGATATATATACACACACACACATGATACGTAAGTATGTGTTCTAGGTAATTTCATTTTCAATCATACACAAGTCAAATGGAACTATAGTAATTGATGCAAGTGGTCACCATGCACTGAGTCCAAAGATTGTGAAAGGACCTTGGGAGATAATTTCTCCAACCAAAAGAGCATTAGAATTAGATAATAGTGTTGATGCTTATCATTTATTACAGTCCAATTCCACTTTTTCCATGTACTAGTGGTCGAAGTGGTCCATCTCCTCCACATTACACAAGCACCACATTTTTTACTGTCCAAGTTTAATTTCCTTTTTTTGGGTTAATTTTTTTCCCCCCTCTTCTCAGTACTAATACATTTCTTTTATTTCTCTGATTTACCATGGAATAATTAGATGGTGGATTAATTGAAGATGATTATATAAGTTGGTAAAATCTACAGGTCACGCTTATGTTCTAGATTTGTTCTGCTTATCCAATTAACAAATTAGTCTAAATCGGAAAGATGGTCAAAATCTTTTAGCACAAAATCTATTACGGATTGGTAGGATGGATTGTGCTTATGCTGGTAGGATCTTCCCACTCATCAGTCAAATTCTATTATAATTTTTGTTTTTGTTTTTCAATTTTCTCTTTCCTTTATTTATTTATTTTTTTAAATATACGTATTTCAAATTGAGAGAATATGTTCTTAAATCGAAATCTGTTTCAAAATGATGAATTTAAGTTGATATGATGGTTGGATTTTGATTTAGTTAAGTTGAAGGTCCAATTATTGACAGTCCTACAGGTATTATACATGATGTTATAAACATAGAATTAGATGATATAAAGTTATAAATATAGTATTACTAATAACATTTATGGAAGAGTGAAATGCTATATATAAGAAATCATTATGAAACCTACCTAGATTAAGGATTTCTCATATTTTATTTAATTTTATGGAGTGGGATTCACTTCAAATTCATTTAAATTCGAATAAATATGTGAAGTGGTCAAGCACTTCCTCAATGAACTTAATTTTCAATCACTTTTGACGATACCTTAAGACAGGTGTAAGATATTAATGGACCTCTTTTTAAATTTCAATAAATTAATATAATGTTTGCACGAGGCATCATTAAAATATTTTACGAAGGATAGACTAATTTATATGATAAAAAAGATGTTACTTGATTTCTTTAATAGGAAACATCGTCTCTAGGCAAGTAGGACATTAATTAAACCGAAAGCAATTGTTAATTATCACTAATACGACATAATTAAATAATTCTTTTATTTTGTTTTTAAAGGGGTTAAAGATGGTGGATTTGAAAGTGGTGATGATATGCATAATTGACATTTATTATGCAATTTTTTAATTAAGAAATGAGTGCTTAAGGTCCACGGAAGAAGGTTTATTATATCTCATTTTGACTTTCCAAAGCCATTACCACGATGGGACCTCACTTTGACACACATCACACACACACACACACGAGTATTACCAAGTGAGAATTTTGTGATGATATTTCGTGTAATTATAACCCACTACTTTTTGGCCACTGAATTCCACTCGTGCAACAAAAAAATAACAAGGAATAAAAGGTTAACATCTAATCATTATCATAGGATAATCTCTTTTATGTATGTGTGGGCTCAAAAGAATGTTGTCATTTTCATAAAGCCTTGTTTTAATGCCTTCAAATTATGGTTTTGATAGTGTGTAAAATATATATGCATAAAATGTTGTCTCCCATCCCACATAAACAATGCTAAACTAGAAGAAGGTGGAGTGATCCATCCATCGTCTTCCACCATCGTAGTAAAAAAATAATAATAATAATAATCATTAAAATTGGAAATTTTAAGTCTGATTGATCTTTTCGATAGAGTTGATAATTAAGAATGTTATTTTCAAATTTGAATAATTACAATTGTGTATTATTGAGCTGAGTTAAATGAAGCAATAATAATAATAAGAAAAGGAATTAAGGGATTTATAGTGTCATTTTGTTTGTGTGTGAACGCTCATGCCTTATGTGACAAGATTGTGGCTCTAGCAAGACTTTAAACCCTATCTGGATATTTCATAAAATGTAGAAAATATATGCTAATAATACTAGTCTTTGAATGTGAAAATTTAATTTGTGAATGTTATTGATGGATGATGACGATTATGATAAGAATGTATAGGGTTTCCTTTCTAGGATTGTGAGCAGTGTCCTCCTCACCAATTCTCATCTCTTACAAATTTGTCCATATTGTGATAGCAACACCTTCTCTTTATTACTATCAAAATTCTTCCTTCGTACTCGATCTTATTTTAACACATATTTGTCTAATGGTAGGAAAGGAATCAAAACGCTGTACATACACGTATGAGGGAATAGCCTAACGATAAAGGCTTCCACTCCTTTGAAATGATTTCTAGTGAATTTTATCGACAATTGTTTGTTACATGTGGGACGAGTGAGATTGTATATGACTTTCTCATCTCTTACAAATTTGTCCATATTGTGATAGCAACACCTTCTCTTTACTACTATCAAAATTCTTCCTTCGTACTCGATCTTATTTTAACACATATTTGTCTAATGGTAGGAAAAGAATCAAAGCGCTGTACATACACGTTTGAGGGAATAGCCTAACGATAAAGGCTTCCACTCCTTTGAAATGATTTCTAATGAATTTTATCGATAATTGTTTGTTACATGTGGGACGAGTGAGATTGTATATGACTGGTCAATTCTCATCTCTTACAAATTTGTACATATTGTGATAACAACACCTTCTCTTTACTACTATCAAAATTCTTCCTTTGTACTCGATCTTATTTTAACACATATTTGTCTAATGGTAGGAAAGGAATCAAAGCGCTGTACATACACGTCTGAGGGAATAGCCTAACGATAAAGGCTTCCACTCCTTTGAAAAGATTTCTAGTGAATTTTATCGATAATTGTTTGTTATATATGAGACGAGTGAGCTTGTATATAACTGGTCACTGATGGTGCATTATGAGGTGCTTAACACTACCATTATAATTAAAAATAATAATAAAAAAAAAAATTCCTAAACTATCTAAAAAATTTTACTACTAAAAAAACAAAAAATACTTTTAGTTACAAAGGTGTATATATAATGTATCACCAAACACTAACATGCCATACACTAACTCCGAAACTACCATTTTTTTATAGTTTTATTAATAAAAACATATATTTTTTTTCATTACAATAACCCCCCAACCCAACCCCCCCCCCCCCCCCCCCCCCAAGTCAAAAGTCAGATTTCTTTATACGCTTTGGAGGAGCAGCAAACTTTTGATCAGATTTTGGAAATTTCTAAATTCATAAAGTCATAACGCGCCTAATTTGTAGGGTTTGGTGTGTGTGTGTGTGTGGGGTTGGGCGGGGGAGGGAGTGGGATGTAGGTATGCCTGTCTTTTGGGTTAGCACCAGTGTGCTTGCGCTTTTGAATGAAGGCATGATTTTTAAGACTAATTTGGCTCGAGCCGAAATTGAGATCGGTTCATTTCTACTCGACTTCAGTAGAAATTTTTTAAGATTGATGATAGTGAATTTAATAGTCGGATAAATCTAACTAATTTTTATGTCGGTAAGAATTGATATCATCATGAATTTATAAATATTAATAATAAATAAATTAGTTAGAATTGTTCTTTTTCAAATAAGGTTTTATGGCAACACCATGACAATGACAATTTTTATTTTTGGGAAGCACTGGAAGTGTTTTTGTTGCTTCTACAACTAAATAACTACACAAATCTTCCAACCTTCAAACACAAAGACACACACAAAAGAAAAAAGAAAAAAAGAAAAAAAAAAAATGTAGACCCTATTGCCAATTTTTTTTCCCTTCCTGTAAGTTAGACGCCATTTGTTTATAAGGCAATGTGTATAATACTTTTTGTATGGTCTAAAACACAACTAATTTAATTTCATATGATGAAAAGATGCTTCTTGTCGCCAACCAAATTGCACGATGGTTTAGAGTCTAAGCTCGATTGGCTGCAAATTGTGCAATTAAAACTTGTTTTCATGGTTCATTTTATTCAGTGCACCATCAGTTGGACCTATTGGTGGCAAGGAGCTTCATGACAAAGCAAATGATAATATTTATTTTTATTTATTTATTTATTTTTGTTACAAGTCATATTTTCGGTAATATCTTAGTGTATGTAGTGGGACAAGTTCACGGAAACAGATTATGAGGTTTATTCGCCTTTCAACATTTGTGATAAAGAATTCCCTCAATATTTTAGGGAGACTTGAACCATCTTTCTTCTCCTTGAAAAGAAGAAGAGATACCGCAAGATCCCAAGTCTAGGGGTTGCTTTTTAAATATCGTAGCTATTTTTATCAATAAATTATGTGCCTCAAACTGTAATTTAGGGTTTTAATTAGATTTTCTATTATTTAGTTAAGAAATATTGTTTTACTCTCTCACATTAAATATATTATAATAGTCATGCATATTTTACACAGCAGATCTCAAGCCCGAATACAAGAGGAGGTGTATGTCAGGTAGATTGATAAACGATTTAAAATTTTGTGATGACCAATATGAACATGGATTCTATGAATACACAAGTTGACTGAGATTTTGCCTTAAATATTATAGCAAAATGAAAATATAGAATTAATGTAACTCATTCAAGTAATTGGAAAAAAGGCTTAATTATTGTTGTAGTCATGTATATGGTAGGACTTGGGACCAAAAATTTAACAAAGGACAACGGGGGAGATCCAGCCTAATCAAAATTCACTTTCAAATTTCTTTTAATATCTTTGTTAATAATCATTTATTCTAAAATTTTAACTTTTGATTAGTAGATGGTTAGTAATATGGTATCAGGCTAAAGTGATTCAAGTTCAAATCTCAATGTCACTTTGATAATTAAAAATTGAAATACTTATTGAACCAAGAGTAGATCGATAACATGAATTCACTTTTTATTCTTTTCTATTATAAAATTTTGATTGAATTAAGTGAACCATATAATTCAGAACCATCTAACAATTTCTGTGTACGTATGGTTGTTAGAAGCTGCACCTACCATCTAGGGATTGGAGGGCAACCATGCATTTTCATTAATGGTTGTGGCATGGGAATTTCTCGTGGGTGGTGTATGACACAATGACAGTGAGGAGAAATAAATAAATTGTTAGTGAATCTAAAAAATAGAGAGAAATTAGGTAGTGGGAGGAGCAGAATCCCAGACTGGTATAGGCAGATGCTGCGGTGGCTGAGAAAAAGCATCCATTTGATCAGCTAAAAAATATATAATTTAAAAAAAATAATAATAATAATATAGAGTACCTTGTTAAACAACAACTTGGCTATTTTACAAATTGAAAGCTAACCACTTTGTCAAATCAATTGTGTTGTACAAAAAGAAAGAAGAATCAAACCATGATGATCGTTAAAAGTGTTATGGAGCATCAAAATTAAAGAAGAAACACTTTTACCCATCACTTTGTGTTTTTCATTCTTTAATCTTCTCTGTAGGCATATATATCAGGCTTACTAATTTGTAGTTAATTCTATTTCTAATCTCTAAAACACTTTTAGATAACAACCCCAAAAAGCAAATTCATCATACTATGTGCTTTTCTCATTTTATTGTAATAAATATCATTTCTTTAATCCTTACAAGCATCATTCCATCTCTATCTCTTCACAATTAAGAACTATAATTGAAAAAAAGAAAAGAAAAACAAAATAGTGAAGAGAGCAACAAAACCAAAGGTCAACCTCAACCAATATATCTCTATCTTTCATATATTAATTATTAGTTCAATGGCTTCAAAGAGATTTGAACTCCATACTTAGGTTTTATTGTGAGCACCACAACCGGTGCATGGCGATAATTCTCTGAAATTGTGAAGCTAAACCGCGATACTAACATGGCTAATATGATCTTAGCTTCCATCATGGCAAAGGCTTGGCCAACACAGTTTCTTGGACCAGCAGCAAAAGGGATGAAATGCCGGCCAGATGCGAATGTCTTGGACGAAAACCGGTCAGGATTGAACTCATTTGCATCCTTACCCCATAATTCTTCACTGTGATGGATAGCAAGCACCGGAATCCATATTGATAGACCCTTTGGGATATGGAGGTCACCAAGTTTGATGTCTTCAAAGGCCATTCGAGGCAGCACAGAAGCCGGTGGATAAAGCCTAAGCGATTCGTTAATGATCTTGTTCAACTGCAAAAACAAATTAAATAATTAATTAATGTAAGAGTTCTTGTTTAATCAATGTTTATAAGTTTTATTAATACACCAAAACATTTCATGACACTTGACATATTTTATCAACTACTACTCTCAAAACTAGTTCAATAGCATGCCCCCAAATGATTCTAAAGTCTATTTAATTTTATCAACCGCTGCAGGCATGATTAGTTTAATTACTTTTATTAATTTCCTAACCTAAACAGTTGATATTAAATATAATTGAATTCAGATTTTTCTTCAATTCACAAATAATATTCTTTTTCAGACAATTTTATGTGGAGGTTATATTACTAGTAAATGAAAAAAGAAAATAGGTAGGTACCAGTAGAAGTAGCATCCAGAGAGGAACTTTTTTAAAGGAAGTAATTTGGTATAAGCTTTCACCAGCATTGCTTAGTGACAAAATATTCTCTAAACCCCACCTCCCCAATTTTGTCTAAATTCCCCCCTTCAATCCGTACCCTCTACAAAGTTATTGTACTTATAATTATGGCAAATGCTGAATTCACAATGTGTTTGTAAGATTCTAACGCAATATTAAAAATCGAACCACTACCATGGTAAAAAATAACAAAATAATAATAATAATAATAATTTAACTCTTGCTTACCAAGGTGAGCTTTGGAAGATGATCAACAGAGGGTGCACCATCACCACAGACCTGTTTTACTTCGGCGCGAGCCTTGTCTTGCCAGGAGGGGTTGCTGGCTAGTAGCATAATGGTCCATGTGAGTAAGAGAGCAGTGGTTTCATGTCCAGCAAAGAAGAAGGTTTTGCATTCATCCATGATTAGTTGTAGGTTTAAGCTAAACCCATTGCCTGATCTCTTCTTCTGCATCTCATTCAGTAGCATACCCAACAAATCATTTCCATAAGAACTGCTTCGGCCGATCTCCACGCAATCCTTTCGACTCTGTATGATCTCCATTAGCAGCCTCTCCACCTCCATCTTCAGTGATTTTATCTCTCTATTATATTTACTTGGAAAAAACCTAAAAAAATACACACACACACACACACATATATATGGAATTAATTAAAATGATATTTAACCTAGAGTCAAAGAATTATGAAAAATGAAGTGGAATCCACATAATTAAACACATTTTATTCTACTTGTAGAATATGTTTATTTTCCCAGGTTGTCATTTTTCTAAATATAATTATTTTAATCCATAAATATTACTCCATTTCATTGTGTATGCATTATTAATGAACCTACTTGGAAAAATAATTACTCCCATTTTTAAAAGAAAAAATATAATTGTTTTATTTAATGGTGTATGCATTAATGAACATACTAGGAAAAATAATTACTCCAATTTTTAAAACAAAAAAAAAAAAAAAATAGTTTTAATCCATAAGTATCATTTAATGGTGTATGCATTAATGAACTTACTTGGAGAAAAGATTACAAAATTATTATTTTTGTTGTTATATGTAAAGTGGTTGGAGTCAAAATTAACAAACTTAGACTGTTTATGGACAAGAAAGGAAGATTAATTAAACAGTGATGAAGCTTAAAGGAAAAGATGGAATCTGTGAAAGAAATTAAAACAAGAAAACTGGTCCACGTAAAAGGGATAGACCTTTGTGGAGTACAGAATCTAAAAATCAAATCAGGTGGACGTTGACACGATAACTCACCGGCTTCCGGGAAGGCACAGGTGCCGACTTGCTTGTGCACAAAGATGCTGCAAGACTGTAAGTAAATGAAATATCTGCTTCCCCTTCTCGTAGCTGCTATCGAACTCGGTCCGGGAAATGATGTCGGCCGTTAACCGAGTCATGTACTCGCCAATCTCGAACTCACCTCGACCCAGCTCTACCTCATTTTGTAGTGATTGGAGCATCTGCTTAGTGCATTCCACCATGTACACCGCATAACTCTATAAACCATTCAATTCCAACCATACATGTCACATTAAAATTTATACATACATACATACATATATATATATATATATATAGTACTCCACAAAACATAAAAAGAAAGTGATACATTTTGTAATCTAAATTATATCTATATATATATATATAATTTGCCTTGAGTTTGTCCCCCATGAAAGCCGGTGCTACGATGTGTCGTTGATGGTACCAATCCTCTCCGTTGGCCATTAATAATCCGCGGCCGATGAAATGCTTTGATCCTTGTTGTTGCAGCCAAGATTTGCCAGAAATGGTACTGTACTTTGATAGAAGCTCTTTGATGAGTTCGGTCTCTGTTAAGCACATGCGTGGCTCGGTACCATTCCAATATATAAATCTTTTACCTGTAAATTAAAATTGAAAATTAACAAAAATATAAGCATATATATGAGCTATCTAGCTTATGAGATGAAATTAAATAAAAATGTAGCATCTGCATATATATTATGTATAAGTACCATAGAGTTTGGACCAGGTGACAAAATGTGGCATGAGACGGCCGACGACGTCGTGGTTGATGAAGTCCATGTCCTTGGAGGTGGCGTTGGCAACAAGAGAGGCCATGTCCAAGATGTTGCCAACTAGAAAGCGAGGTTTTGGGCCACGCACTCCTTGTGTCTCCATGATTTTCTTGATGCGTCTTGGTGTTAGCCAGTAACATGATACAGTTTCATAAGTAACTCTCATGAACAAATACAGAAATATAGCTAACAAAGGTAATAACACCACCACCATAGTCATGGTGGTCATCAAACAATTAATCGAGTGTAGCAACACAAAGTCTTCTGTCCCTCACACACGCACAAACACAGACTTTAGAGAGAGAAAGGGAGAGGTGTGATTTAGTGACCATAGGATCACCGTATTTATAGTGCTAGTTACCCCATTTATTCCGAGAAGGCCAATAGTCAATTGGGCATGGGCTAATAAGGTTATTTTTTCATTAGAAGGTTTCTCATGGGACTGTGTCATTTGGTTGTGGAGGGTACTTTTGACTTTTCGTTCGGTACTAAAATGGAAAATTTTGGATTCTTCATCAATGCTCAGTTAAAACCGATTATAAAAAAAATTTCAGAAAAAGGAAAGGGCAATTTTTTTTTTCCATAACGCTTTTGATTACATTCATATGGTTCCCACTCGTATATTGACACGTACCTGAGTGCTAGATACTGTGAGTAAGAATAATAGTCTCTATTCAAATTATATTCATTCAAGGGAGGTAATATCCACACACGTTTTTTATTTATATATACACTATTTATTTGTCTTTTTCTTAAGGCAAATATCCGATATACTCTTATTTACCACAATATAGATATCAAAAATACTTTTATACTTCATGATAGGGTTATTAATGTCATTTTACTTAAAAATTAAATGTATTTATAAAAAGAAGAATGTGAATATCACCTTTCTTATTTAAAAATTTAAAATGAAACAATATATCAAATGAATGATGTACAATTAGACTAACAATCTATTCACTATGTGGTCAAGTAAGACCAATGTGAATGAATTCCTGTTAATAACAACATCATGACGATCTAACATTTCAATCAAAATAATCGAATCATGTCGATCTAGCATTTTAACCGAAATTATAGCCTACCAATATTTTTGATATGAAATAGAATTAAAAGTAGGGAACTTCGTCCTTGGTGTTGGCGGAAGGACTAATGGCAAGACCTAATTAATCGGATTGACCTAATTATAGTACTTGGGACAATATAAGTTTTACATACGTAATGAAATGGCCTAGAGATGATTTTTTTTTTTTTGGCTGGCACCGGAACTCACCTGGACAGGGCCTCTTCAGGACCCACCCCAGGTTACAAACCGAGAATACTGTCGACGGTCCCATACCTTAGCAACAATTTCAATCAAGAGTTATAATGGCGATGGACAGGTTCGAACCTGGAACCTGTGGGTGTCCAGATCATGATCTTACCAACTCGGTCAAGCCCCCAAAGGCAATGGCTTAGAGATGATGCGACTAGGTCAATTTGTCCTTGTTAATAATGGGTGCTCCTCCGCAGTCGTCTTGAGACCATGGATCACTGCTGTCTTAATTTAACTATTTTGTTGGTGGAACTGTTTTAAGTAATTAATTAATTAATTAATTAGAGCATAGTGACTTGTCATCCTAATCTCAATACTTAATTTTTATCTTGATTTGGTATAGTAATCTTGTAAAGAACTTCCCAAGATTACAAAACCATTATCTTCATCTTCATCTTCATCTTCATCTTCATTTAGAAGGTGGACCAATTTTTTAACATACTGTATTACCTTGTCCTTGTCCTATAAAGTGGACTTTGGAAGCTTCTTCAATCAAAAATCTATCTCAAATACTCTCACTATCTCCTCAATCCAAATTTACCGTCTAATATATTCTTTATTAGTAGTAGTATCTAAATATATTGACCAAAACTAATATAAATTAATGTAGTAATTCAGAGTGACAATATATAAAAAAAAAAAAAAAAAATTATTATTACTATTTTCTTGTGATTGTGTGTGGGAGTGAAACCAGACATACAATGAGGAGAAAAGCTTGTGACATTAGAATAGTGAATGTGGAAGGCCCCACAACATGTTCATTGTTGGGGGCGTTCCCTTTCCAATGTGTAGTAGTGGTGTGCAGAGTCTTGTGCTAAAACAGAGTGCCCTGCCTTTCATTAAGCCATAATCAATACATCATTAATTTGCTTTGTCATTGATGCAACTGCTTTTATAGGGGTGCCACTTGAGTGGGTTTGGGCAGGTCATGGATTAGCCCATTCCAAGGTTTTGACATCTCAGTCCATGCCAAGTTGAAGAATTTATTGTATCTTAACACATTCTTGAATTTTTTGAATTTTTTTGGGTTTGTCCTATTATTCCGTTGGTTTCATATTAGTTGTCAATTTTTAAAAGTAATAATTTTTAAAGAGACATGCAATTAATGTATTACCTTCTTATCCTTATAAATTAAAAAAAGGTATATTATTAAGTTGGAAATTGAAATTTTTAAAGATTTTCGAAACATTTAAATATCAACTTAATTTGGCTTTTCAAATGTGACAACTAAATTGAAACATCCCAAAAGAGAAAACTTGACAACTAATATGGGACATAGAGAATAATAAATAAATATGACAAAAACATATAATGTGATGACTTTCATCAAGACTGAGTCTTTCATTATGAGGTTTTGACACCTCAATTCATACCAAGCCTCGAAGAATTTATTGTATATTAACCCATGCACATTCATGAATTTTTTGAATTTGTCATGCAGTTCTCCTGTCTCATGTCAATCTCTTGGAGTAGTAATTTTTAAATTTTCAAAAAAATTATAGGGTAATGATGGAAAGATAGTACTCCGTATTTCTTTTGGTTGGCTTCTCAAATGTGATAACTAAATTGGGACATACCAAAAAAGAAAACTTGATAACTAATATCGCCAAATGTTAAAATAAATAAATTTTAATAATTTGTTGTATTTCAGGTTTCTCCAGTTACTAAAACTTTTGTCCAAATTCTGCCCAAAATAACTTCAAATTCTAAAATTTAAACCCAATCCCAATCCCAATCCCAATCCCAATCCCAAATACTCTTTATACATGTTAGTAAAATTTTCAGGCGGGTTGCTTGTGTTAGGCCCACCTAAGCCCCCCCAGTGCTTTTTAACAACTTTTCTATATTATACACCTTATTACCCATTTTACCCTTACCTTATTATTACAAATTCAAAAAAATAGTTTTGTATATCTAAATTAAGAAATATATATTCATTTTTATTTGCAATACTTAATTGCCAAAGAGTATTCAAAAATAAAAATTAGGATTATACTTTTTACGTCTACATTTTGAAACAATCTATTATACTGCGTTTGTTATGCAGGAATGAAATGGAATGGAATGCCCATTCCAATCATTCCTTTATTTGGTATACAATTTAAAGTGGGAATGGTCATTCCATTGGAATGAAAATCCATTTAACAACTAAACCTATGGAATGGTCATTTTATTTCCAACAAAACCTCTATTAACTTCCACCACCGCCACCGCCACTTACATCGTTATCTCCTTCCACCGCCACCGCCACCTACTGCCCCCTCCTTCCACCACCACCGCCATCGTCGCCTTCCACCATTGTCGCCATCGTCGCCTTCCACTATTGCTACCTAAACCACTACCGCTTTCCACCTCCACCACTATCCACCACAGCCACTGTCACCATTTATTTTAAAAAAATTATTAGAGAATGTCATTTTGTTAATTTAATTTATTTGTTACTAAGAGGGATATTTTGGAGAATTTAATTTGAAATTTATTTCATTCTAAATTTTAAATTGGTCCAACCAAAACACTACAATGATTATTTTCATTCCATTTCTACACATTTAATATTTACAACCAAACAATAAAATGAGAATGACCATTTAATTTAATTTCCATTCTCATTTTATTCTTACTTGCATTTTATTCCATTCTTGCACGCTAAACGCAACTTTAAAGCTGTTGTTCACATAAATATGTCTATATTCATATTTTTGGCTCTTTAGACTTTTTAAATTTGAGGAATCCCTAATAGAATAGACTAGGAGCTGGTAGCGCGCTGTAATTTTGTTCTTTAGCTTTTTATTTTTTTTATCTTTTTATAAATATGATTTTATTCATTTTATAAAGTATTGTAATATTATCAAATACTTCATAAAAACGCTTTTATTTATTTATTTATTTATTTTATGGAAGGTCCTTAAAGGGTATTATTGTAAAACTAAAATTAAAAATACTTTTAAAACCCTATTTAGTAACAATAATTTTTTGGCAGTTCGATCTACCCTTTTTTTTTATATTACGTATAACAAGTCAAACGGCCCACAGCAAAATCATAGAAAAAGATACAGGATTATGAATGAGAAATTTGATTTATTAGCTACTAAAAGTTATCCAACTTAAAAAAAAAAAAGAAAAAAAAAAAGAAAGAAAGAGAGAGAGAGAGTAAAAGTAATCCAAATTAACCCCTCAAACACACACAAATAAAATAATAATATGCTACTGAATAAGTTACTTAGCTTTTTCATATGCTTAATTCTTTTACCAATTGACCCTGTGGTTCGATCATCTCTCTTTCTTTTTTCTTTTTATCTGATAACGGTATCTATAACTCTAGCTTCATGAGAATCATGACTAAAAAGATACTAGTATGTAGCTATTGAAAAAAATAATAATAATAATAAAAAAAAAAAGGGAGAATATGGAAAAAAAAAATGGAAATAACATTAAAAAAAAAAAAAAAAAGGTCAATTTCACCTAATGTTTACTAAACTTGTTAACACTTCAAATTTTGGTTGCATAGTATCTCCAAATTTACTCAAATCCTGAGTGAATGCCATAAAGCTGTTATCATTCAGTTTGAGTTTTCAATCTCGCTATCGGAATGAAAATTAGCTAGTATCATATGGTTTAATAACAAAATCAAGTCTGGATATCACTAATTCATGGGCTTCGATCAGTTCTGAAGAGGAAATATTTTTAGTTTTTATTTTTTAATTAATACAATTAACCCATATTCAAAATGCACCAAATTTCAAAAAATAAAATCGCATTCAACATCAAGTTTTACCATTACAATCACGAGTGAATCTTCTCAAGTAGATTTGGTTGCCAAAATAGTCAACCAACTGGGCCTTGAAAAATTATTCAAAAGACGTAAGAAGCAATTTTTTTTTTCTTTTCTAGAAAGAGTGTCCAAAAGCAATAAAGTGTTGATCGAATGCCATAGAAC